ACTCAGCCTCCTTCCAGCGACGCAGATGAGAGGGGAGGAGGGGTGTGAGGACTGCGTCTGGTGCGGCTCGACCGGGCCCGGGCCGACGCCAACCTCATGGGTGGGCCGGGAGGGAAGGCCAAACGCTGGGTACTCGGTACTCGTTGGGTTCAACGCCGAGGCGGTGGACCCCGTTGATTGACACGTTGCCAGGGGTGGCGACGCTGGCCTTGGACGAGCTATCTCGGACGCACTGCACTGACACTTCACTCGAACACTGCACTGCACTGCACTTTGAACACTGAACTGACACTGCACTGGACACTGGGCACTGAATCCTGAACTCGTTGCGCTGCCACGCCGACGCTGTGTAGCCCGCGCTGGAGGGTGGCTGGCACCGTAGAATCGCAGGCACGGCCCGGCGGGCGGAGGGGCCCCAACAGCCGCCCTCGCCAGATGGTGCGGCGCTGCAGACACTTGACGGAAGGAATGCAGGGGACGCCAACTCGAAATCCAAGAAAATCACTGATAATTTCCACACCGTTGAACTGATTGGCACCAAACTTCACACACACACTCGGGAGCACAACGCCGATCCGTAGGTACCAAGCACCAACTGTAAAACCAAGTTTGAACCACCAAACCAGAAGGGAGGAGACGGAGCGGCACGAAACACGTCCGACCCCTCCGCTCCTCCGCTCCGCACCTTACTGCGGTGCCACGCGTTTTATAAGTACCGCGGACCGCGGGTGTTTCATAAAAGAAACAGTTGCGGGCGAGTTTGCCTACCCAAAGGGGCTATGGCGCCTTACGGGCAGACCGGGTAGGGTAGGCAAACCCACCCCGCACCTGTGTCTTTTATGAAACACCCGGTATATGTAAGTAGCGTGCAGCTGAGACACCCCGCGGTGTTGTGCGAGTTTGCCTACTCCGGCGAGGCCATGGGAGGGAATAATCGCCTTTCAGGGCGGAGCGAGTAGGCAAACGTGCGCACGACGACGACGCTTTGCTGCGGTGTGTCGCCTTGACACGCACAACGGCGGCACAACGCACATTATATTTCGCGAGAATAATAATTATTTAGCCTCGCGAGACACTTTTGGCAGAACTTGTGCGGAGCACTTTTGGGCTGGAGAAGGCCGCGAGGTCACGCCCCACCGCGCGCTGCATTGGTCGCGCCACCGAACGCGGATGTTGCACAAGGCTGCGGGGCGGGGCGGGGCGGGGCGGGGCGGGGGCCTCTTGGAAGCGCAAGTCGGGCCGCGCGGCGTTCTGGAGGCGCGGAGCAGCGGAGGCGCCCCTCCTCCAGAGGCGGAACTCGAGAAGCCCCGCCGCCAATAACTCGGTTCGTGGAACGGCGCAAGTCCGCCATTACGCTTTAAAGGCGTTCGGGATGGGGTGGTCGTGTCACCGCACCGCCACCCTCCTCTTGGACAGACGGACGGACGGACAGGCGGGGCGGGCGGCACGACCCAAGGTGACACCCCCGACCCTCCCCGACCCGCCGCACCCAGCTCCTCCGCCGGGCACACGCGAACGCCGCAGGGTGCAAAAACGGTTAAAATTGCAACGCCCTTCAGAATGGGAAGGCGGAGCGGCGGAGCGCGCGGCTCTCCGAGTGAATATCTGTCTGTGATGGACGTCACGCGGGTCTTCCCCCGTCATACCTCTCCACTATAGATACACTGTAAAAGAATCGCAATCGCAACGGAAACCTAACTTAAATGAGCGACAAGTCGGGGCTTTTCTATAGCAGTGAACGAGCCCGTGAGCAACGCCACGACGTCAACGCACTTGTTCACTCTGACGAGTGAGAGTCTCGCGCGTCTCCAGTCCAACGACGTGCCCCACTTCGGCCGACACCACCAACAATTTTAGACAATTGTGCTGCTCGAAGGACCGCTCGGCCTGGAGCTCTAAGATACAGGGTGTGAGTACCCAACCATATGCGTCCCGGGGCTTTCAGGGCTGCTCTGGGGCGCCCGCCGAGTCGAGCATAGGCAAGCCCGCAGTACTCGGCCGCCGGCCTCCGAAAGCGTTCTCCAGAGCTTCTCCAGAGCGAAACGCCCGCTCGCTGTACTGCGGAGCCTTTGATTCACACTCGCGCGCGCGGCGCACATAGTCGCTTCTGCTCGATCCATTCCTCATGAGCCGATGAAGCTTGCGGCACGCCAACATCGTCTGGGCCCCGCCCCGCCCCGCCCCGACCCGCCCCGCACAGGTGACTGACCCGGCGGGCGCGACGCGCTTTTACACCATTTCTGTCTGCTTTATTCATGCAGGGTGCTCCCTCCGCCCCCTGCCAAGATGAAGGGGAGGCGCGAGGCGGGGCGGGGCGGGGCGGGGCTAGGCGGGGCGAGGTGTGGTGGGGCGGTGCCGCGCGACATGGCGTCTCATTCATACGATATGGTGGCGGCCGCATCACTCGCGCACACGCTCTCTCATGAAGCACACGAACACACCAGCCAGCCACAACGCCCTACAACCTCACCACCACTTGACCAACTCCGCGCACTCGCCTGCCCTGCTGTCCTGTCCGGCCCCGGGTGCGCCACCGCCACACCGCCACCGCGGACTTGTTTGGCCAACATTTTTACTCCGAGTTGGGCGAGAACAAAAGCGTTCCGTGGCGCGGCGTGGCGCAGTGTGGCGCGCTCCACAAGGACCGCGCCGCTGCTTGACTCGGGTGGCTAATGGGACGCCGCGTTGACACAGAGTCTGCCGTGGGCAGCCCGCCCCACCGGACCAGCCGGTCCCGACCCAAATATCTCTCTCCGTCTCCACCCATCCCTTCGCTTCTCTCTCTCTCCCGTACCGGAAACTTTTCATGACGGCTTCGCAAGGGCTGTGGGGCGGAGCGACGGGCGGTGCGGGGCGAGGGGCGGCGCAAGGTGGGGCGGGGTGGGTCGAGATAAGCTTCACAACGTGTGCCTGGGCCGCCCCACCCCGCGCCCCGACGACACGCAGCGTTGATGACTAAAAAAGAAGGAAGACGGACGGCAAAAGAGTCTCGTGATTGTAAAATCTACTGCTGTTAGGAGAGAGGGGGGAGAGCAAATAGAGAAAGAGAGCGAGCGGAGGGAGGTGACGTAGGGAGAGAGGGATGGAGAGGGAGAGAGGG